AATATTAGAATTCATTTTCATTACTAAAAGCACTGCTTCCGATTACAAAAACTATTTTTTTTTAAGAAAAACGGCCTGCTAAAATCAGGTAGACGGTTTAAAAAATTAACATAATAATAGGTAATAGGTACCTACGATATATTAACATAATAAAAAACTGATTTTATTTTCATGATATGAAGATACAAATTGACTACAGAATATTAGAGTTCATTTTTTTACTAAAAGCACTGCTTCCGATTACAAAAGCTATTTTTTTAGGAAAAACGGCCTGCTAACATTAGGTAGACGGTTTATAAAATTAACATAATAATAGGTAATAGGTACCTACGATATATTAACATAATAAAAAACTGTTTTTATTTTCATGATATCAAGTGACGGGACGAACAAGTCGTGCGTCCGATGGTAAGCGACATACCTATCCATAACATTTACAGTACCGCTCAGGTCTTTAAATCGCAAAGATCTGAGGGGCAAGAGACATAAGATGACAAGTCTCATATGTCTGTAATTTCACCAGCACTCTTACTCTTCAAAACCGAAATGCAGTAATCCTCCCATTACTGCTTGGCGACAGAATGAATGAGGAAACGGCCCTACTGGCACTAAAATGATGAATGAATGACGCCCAAAGCCGAAGAATATCCAATATTGTTATTCGATTATTATACCCGTAATATAATGGAATGCTTGGTGTCTTATTTACAATAAAATTTAGCACAAATAGCTGTGTAATAAGTGAAAAAAAAAAAATGAATATTGATGTCCTTATTCTTGAGAAGTAGCTAATACGTGCTCTTAGTTTTTCAACTGGTATTATTTATTGTGAAAAACGCCACGTTTTTAATTGTTATTGCTAATGACCAATTACAACCATTAAGTATTACATTAATATCGAATCTAATCTGGCAAACAAAACTATTCGTGTAAGGTGTTTTGTAACATAGATATGTAACGACCTCGTTAAAGTCGATTTTAGTTACTTAAAACTTCTTAAACTCGTTAAGTATTTAATGTGGAGAGCAGTGTTTAGCCTGTTAAGTATTGTAATTTGGATTCACTGATTAAACTTCGACCCGCGATACGCACGCAGGATAAGCTGCTTCGTACTAATAGAAACGCGGCTAGGGGAATGAAGTCAACATATTTATTTTGTATATTTACGGAGGTATGTTTGTAGTTATATAAGTTCTCGTTTCTTATTTCCGTATAAGATAATTTGTAATCTTTCAGCATTAATAAATATAACCTTAAAAGCAAGTTGTTCCTGGTATGGGTTTCAGATATATAGTAATTTAGAATTCATGAAATATTACTAGCAGACCTCTTATCCATGGAAATTAGGTAGGAAAATTCCGAACAATCCTGTAGGAACTCTTAATATTTTGCGAACAAAAATAATATAATATATTATTCCAAAGCGCATACTTGGTATATATTTTGACATGTTAAAGAATATTAAAGGAAGAGAAACTTGGAAAAGAAACTTAGATATTTTTTTACATTATTTGACGTTATTTTCTGTATCTATTTTTAACGGGCTTCAAAAAAAGGTTCTCAATTCGACGGTATGTTTTTTTTGTATGTATGTTACGCGATAACAATTTGTGAACCGATATTGATGATTCTTTTTTGTTGGAAAGAGGGTGTGTGGACTCCACACATCTTTGTGATTGAAAGCTCTGAGTGACAGTGCAACTGTTATAGACAGACGTATCTCTTACCACCAGGTGCACGACTTGTTCATCCCGTCGCTAATTGGTATCGTATTAATCTCAGTATAGAGTAGGTACTAAAAAAACCGACCTCAAAAGTCATTCATCCCGTAGTTTAATACCCGTACGGGAATATTTTCTTCAAATTTAAATAGGACCACTTCTGATGTACCCTCTTTCCAACAAAAAAGAATCATCAAAATCGGTTCACAAATCCCGGAGTTATCGCGTAACATGCAGACAAAAAACCTGAGAACCTCCTCCTTTTTGAAGTCGGTTAAATAAAGAAACAACTTTGCTTCTAAATATATATGTGTTTATTCAAACATGTTAAGAATATAAAAAGAAAAAACTTGGTGTGTTTTTTTAATTGAGGGTATATACTGTGTTGTGTAAATACTATTATATATAATAATATTATAATTTAATACTATTTTGTAATCTAATACATAATCGACGTACAATTGGACTGAATTCCTTTGTTGGAGACGCTTGCCTAGCAATTTTGAGCGGAGGGAGCAAGAGAAGAAATAGAGAATTCTTTGGGATTTTTGGTAACCTATTTTATGTAGCGATTGACAACGAATAAGAAAAACATAACGTTAGTAATTGTAATTATTTCATCGAACAAACAAACCGACCTCAAAAATTTGCTTATCGGCTTTTTTCAATTGCCATAGGATCCCTCATTAGATTCTGACTTCTTGGACTGTTACGGACTCCATTGTACATTTTGTATTTCTTTTCTGGTTGTCATGGTGACGGTGATTTGTTGATTACATGTATTGTGTCAAGTGAAGAGTTGACATTTATTTGCAGAAAATAATTAGTAATTTGTGATAGCCGAAATGAACCAGGAACAACATCAGAGACCACCTCAAAAGTATATACCCTTTAAAACAGAGGTTCCCAGACTTTTTTTCTCATAGACCACTTTCAAAATTTAGCTGGTTCCGGTGGACCCCCTGCAGGTACATTTCTACCATATTCGAGATTTCGATTATTCGATTATTCGAGATTTGCTGTCTCGGTCTGTACCTTGGTAAGAGCGATGGCGACGATTTGGCGACAGACGCTGGTTCGAATCCAATCAAATCTAAGGAATTTTTCTTTGGACTGTTCGATCTGTGTATCAATAATAAATAAGAATTCGATGATCGTGTCTTGCTTATTGCTCATTGGTACCACGCCCAGCCAGAGTAAATCTGACCCGGACAAGCCGGATATACCAGTCACGCCCGGGATTGTGGAGGGAAAGACCAACCAGCCGCAACCGGTGGTCAGATTCCTTTTTTTTTTTTTGACGGGGGGGGGAATCTTTATGGATACCCCTGAGCCCAGGGAGACTCAGGGGTTATGTGGGGACTCTCCTTCCAGACTGGAGGGCCTACCCCACTAAAACCCCCCCGGGTTTCCCTCTCGCCGGTTGAGTCGGCGCCGTGGGATCAGTGAACATTCACCACGACGCCGCCCGGCCGCCCTAGCTTACGCCAGGGCTCCCGCGCCAACGGAGGGGCGAGTCAGTTGTCCTCTGACCCGCCCCCCAGACGAGTGAGGCCGTGCAATGCAGGCTCCGGAGTCGCTGTCCAGAGCCCGCTGGTCTCACTAGGGGATCAGGCGAGCAGCGAACTGCCTTCGCCTTCTCTCCGTACGTCTGCCGGTGGTCAGATTCCTGCCGGCTATGCAGCACGTGACAGAATGTGGGTAGTAGTGGTAGTTAGCTATTTGGGTAGGTGGTTAGGTAGTGTTAGGAATGAGCGTTGATGGTGTTGTGCTTTGTGTTGCCTTAGTGGATTCTTCTGGGTGAGAATGTGTTGTTGTCCATAGAGCTCGAGTTGTATCATTTCTTTCCCCTGCTAATTCAATGTCGGTTTCCAGAATTTTATGTATTTTTTCAACTTCTTACCTAAATTTATCCTTATCTTTAGTTAGTTCTGTCCTCAGTCATCTTCGTTACGTTGATAGTATTCCATGTTATGTTTTTATGATGTCGTTCCAGGTAAATACGGGTCTTCCTATTTTGAGTTGTAGTGCTCGTAATGTTCGTGCTGCATGTAAAATGTGTGGGTGTTTTGTTCTGTGCATGGGACCGAAGTAGGAAAGCCTTCTATATTTTAAGAATTCGATGATCGTAACTTTGTATCAAACTCTAAAAACCTTTATTTATAGGTACCTTGCTACCTAATATTTACTTATAATGTAAATAAAATTCAATTGTTGTCATAATTATAATATCCATCAAATTACGAACATCTGTCAGGTCTCCAAAGAAAGGAACCAGCTGTCTCATTGCTTTAGTCGTGGACATTTAGTATGGACGAATTTTCATCAAAATAAGAGCGTACAAATTTTATATCACTAAAATAAATATAAACCACGTATTTTATAAAAGTAGATAGAATACTTTGTAAATTGTCATGAAATAAAACAGTGTCAACCTAAACGTTTCAAATTCTTACTCTAAAACATAAATAATAAACTTTATAGTGTTCCTTCAGAATTCCGAACGTAATAAAAAGGCTTTCATACTAGCACGGAATAGAAGATTGCATTTCGCGTATCATGTGCAGAAGGGACTAGTGATCGTACAGATTTCAATCGAATCGAATTTTGTGTGAAATTCTCCGACACGTGTAATGTGTTTGTTGTGGCTTAAATTCTGGAAAACATTTTGTTATTTTTTTTTCCTTATTATGAATTATCATCATCATCAACATCATCAACCCATTTATATGTCCCACTGCTGGGCACCGGTCTTTTCTCAGGTGAGGGTTTAGGTCATTGTCCAATGTGGGTTGGGGTCCTCACACATTCTCCGAGGGTTATGAACCTTCTTCGAAGTGCAGGTTTCATCACAATGTTTTTCCTTCACCGGAAAAATCATTCTTAATTATCGAGGAACAAAGCGAAAGTCACCGACAATCAACAACACACTATTATAATATACTCCTAATAAAATATATTCATAAATGTTAGTTTATAATATTCATGTATCAAATTACAAAAATACTTCGTTTCTTTACTCGCTTTCTTTAGTGTTGGTCTGTTTTAACGGATCAAGTTCGTAATTTCTTTGCGTCGCTAAGTTTTTACAGTTTCATTTTTCTTACATAAAAATGTACTTAGGATGGTATTTGCTGTAGATCTCTGGTCTCAAACCAAGTCCCTCCATGGTTTCATGATCACTTACAATCCTTGTAATACTTTTCTAGATTAACTATTTTTCTTCAGGTGGATGGCTGGATTTATAATGAAAGTAAAATAAAAATTAAAGGTACTTACCAGCTATAGCTCGACCCAGCAGCAGTGTACTGAAGAGAATGGAGAGCACTCGCCGCGTGCCACGCGCCGCCATCATGCCGTGATTACTATCAACTAGCCGCGACCATTGCACTTGCACACGCTAGTTCACTGAACAATGTCACTCGAACATTGTCATATCCCACTGCTAGTCCCCGAGTACTGTTTTTAAAGTTGAAGGGGTTTGCTTAACACATTTTTATATTTTTTAAATTAACTTCGATGAAAATCAGTTATCGTTTACCTAATGGGTATTCAAATAAGTTCCGGTTCGTAATAGTTTTGCACAATATAACACCCATTTATGTCAAACATTCATAACTCATAATATTTGTTGTGACTAAGCCGGCGTTAGTTTTGAAATAACTATTTGTTTACCTATTAAACAGGAAAACAACATACTCAACCAATATCAGGGCAAGTGACTACGAACAGACAGTATTGTGCAAGCGCATCCACCGGCCCAGGATTGGGGAATCCCCCATTTTTGTCAATGTGCGCAGGATGCCGCTATTGTGTAACAGGTTGTGCTTGGTTTTTGAATAATAACGTAGAAGTATATCTATTCTAACCCAATTGCCACATGTACGCGTACATGATTGTCACGCTTTAAAAAAAGTAGAACTCGGAACAGCATCCTGAACGCATTGTTCTACTAGACGCACAGTGCACCGTATATCTGCTGCGTGTAGTTGACCTACAGGCTGACATGTAAAGAGATTGACTGTATACGTTCTGAAAAGCTTTACCTTTATTTGGTCTGTACATCATGCAAACCTGCGAGCCAGCGTATTGCAACAGATAGAAAACGCCCTGTGCGTCCTCTCTACATCTGCATTATAGAGTAATAATAATGATTTATTGTTTGAGAGAAAAACTTTTGATACAACCTTCAATAATGAGTATTTTTGCCATTAAAATAAAATAAAATTGCTTAATGAGATATCTAATCTGAGATACTTTTGTAATGTGAGACAAAATGCCTATAAAAAACGCACATTCAATGCTCGTCCTTGGTAATACTTGTAAATGTTATCTTGACATCCGAAGGGCACAGAAATAATTAATATTTTACAACGCAATAATAAGCCGTGGGGTGTTAGAATACGCATGGTTTAACGTCGTACGGGTTTTTACGATAGGGCGATTTTCTTTACTCGAAAGAAGGTATACTTTCGTTAAGGCTGTAAACACGACTGTTGACAAAGTTTCATTGCCTTGTTGTGCCCATTCAAATGCCAAATCTAACTGTGATTTTATGTGGTGACAAATTCTACTTTATGACATTCTGCACTTTATGTCATTGACTTTGTTGGGTCCAGAGTTTGTCATGTTGTGTATCTAGCACAATGTAGAAGGTGTGCTAGACACAACGTTACGAATAGACATCGTAAGTTTATGTTGAAATTATAAGTCTATGTTTGTATTTGAAAACATCGAAGAGGTATTATTTACAAAGTGTATTTATTAAGTTTGACAACGCAATAATTACATCGTATACTGATTTAACATACACGGTAATAATATAATAAAGTATTCGTCGATCGTTACAATGAATTTAAAACACTTTTGTATAGTTCCTGAATATACGTAATGTGTGATGTGTACATATATTGGTGTTGTGATCTTATACCAGAGAGATCCGAAACTAAATTACCCAAATAAAGAACAAATTGGGGTTTGCGCCCAAACAAAAGTTTACACGAGGGTTAATTGCGCTGGCAATCGGCAGTATTGTTCAGGAAAGACAGTAAAAACTTGCGTGGGAAGTGCCGCTTTGGTAGGCAAACTCTTTGATAAATTTCACCTGTCTTAGTTCTTTGTACTTAACTGTTAAGTGACGTATTATTTTTGTATCTCAAAAAATGTTTAAATTATGCAATTATGATATTATTGTCTATTTTTGCCCCCAAGCAGTAATGTGAGCAAATAGGATTTCAATTTGTCTTTTAAGCTCAACTGCACCGAGCGGCACTGCGACTGTGTACTTTAATTTAAAAAAAAAAACAATCTTAAGGTGGTAAGCAACACAAGCTACTTCAAGTCGCAGAAATCTTAGGGGCCACTGCACCTGTCACCCTGAAACATAAAATTTAAAAGTCCCATGTGCCTGTAGTTTCACCAGCACTCTTATCCTACAAAAAGGGAACGAAGCAATGCTCATATTACAGCTTGATGGCAAAAATAGCTATAGCGGCAATATTTCCCTGGACGAACTCTTTCGTAAGGAGCTCTACTGCTACTAAATTATTTGAGCGTCGGGGTTTACTTCATGACTAGCCTATATGGCCTAGCTTAAGGGCGTAAATGGTTTAATGTCAGAATATTTACCATTACTCTGAGAGTTGCCGGGTTATAGCCAACTCGGAGTAGCTACTATTTTTAACCGACTTAGAAAAAGGAGGAAGCTACTCAATTCGATCGTATTTTTTTGTCTCTTTTTGTATGTATGTTGCGCGATTACTCCGACATTTGTGAGCCCATTTCGATTATTCTTTTTTTGTTAGAAAGAAGGTACCTCAATAATGGTACCAATGAAATTCGAAGAAAATATTTTACCTCTTATGGTGGCAAATTAGGGTAAGAATCCGGTTTATTATATTTCTCCCACTTTCCGCTGACCAATTTCAAAAATACTTAGCAAATAAATGTACTTCCACTAAGTTTTGAATCCGGTTTTTTTATATAAAAAAGTTATAGTTAAATTATAATTAAGTAGGTACATTAACCAGAATCAAGTAAAGCAAAATATATTGTAACAAGAAATACAAATAAGAAAACCGCATACTTCGTCTTAAAAATTTTCCTCGTAGTCGAAATGCTGAGACCATTTACATTCGAAATTAGTTCAACCATATTTCGGAACCAGGAAATAATTTAACAAAATACCCCAAGTTCTCGTATCCGCATCGTAAACTCGCATTTTATACTACCGATTTCTGAAAGCGTATATAAGTACTCGTATTTAGCTAAATATGTGTCTATACTACGACATCTTTATTAGCAAATTTTGTGCAAGTTTTTGGATTGTTAACAACAGTCATTTTCAAGCCAGCCGCAGCGGTAGAACACTTATTAACTTCCTACTGATTTACGACAGTCGTGTATCAACCTTAAAAGTACCACTGCTTGACACGGGTGACCTCTAAGGTGAGGGTTTGCGGCAGTATTCCTCAAAGCAGTGTGAGCCAATGGAGTTTGGGGCAATTTATATATCTTTAAAAAGTTTCATGAACCTTATCCGACATGCTGGTTTTATTACAAATGTTTTGCTGAACAAAAGTAGTCGCCGCTCTACTACTTCCTATTTTAGTTTTCCACATTAATCTACACCATAATAGATAGTTTGATACACAAAAACAACAAAAACCATGGATTTTATTTATATATAGTGATAGTAGCATTTTTATTTTCTCCATTTGCAATAAGTAGTTAAGCAATATTCCATGAAGTTACATTCTTGTTGATGTGTCTCTAGAGTCGTTATTTAATTAGAGACAGATTGTTGTTGAGAATGTTGAAATAAACCAACCTTATTGATTAATTGAATTAAAGAAGAACAAAAGTGTTGTTGGAAAATTTAAAATATATATTCGACTTTATCCGTCTACATCAAAAGTATTATTGAAATGTATCTAAACAATGACATATAAAGTCTTCACGATAATATATCTGTAGGTGAAAGGTAAAGAACCTTAAGTGACAAATAGTACTTTTTACTACAGTGCACTTTAAAGAAAATGAAGTTCTTAATTAGGCATTTGAAATCAATGTTATGGTCAAATAAAATATGTTAAATACAAAACAAACGACCAAAGGACTTAATATATTTTACCATTGTTACTTTTACTTTTAGCATTCTGTAGCAGTGTTTGTAAAAACATCTAAATTCCAAAATACGTTCCTAAGGTCCTTTACCTCCAGAAATATTTATTTATATTATAAAGTTTATATCTGGTGGACATTATTCTACGTTTCTAAAATGTTGAAAGTAAATAAGTTTAATAAATTCAGTGGTAATATTAATTATTACGTTGTGCTATAAATAACAGGAGCAGGAAAGTTCCAAACAGATAAATGAAACGTACAATGCTAAAGATATCATAATGTAAAAACGTTAGTTTGCGAGTGGATTTAGGAATATTCCTAAAAGTTTTTTACAAAACATACAGACAAAGATATCATTCATCAAGTTTACGGAAGGTGCTGTCAAGGCCAGAAAATTACAACTGTTTGTTTGTGAAGTTTTGTACGACGTAGGTATGGGCTGGTCGTAGTATACAGGGCGTAAAATATTATAGATTTCTCTTAAGAGATATCTTCCACAGTCTTCTATAAATTTGCAACTTTTGGAAATAAAATTGAAACAAAACAAAAAAAAACATAGATGGAACACAAAGAAAAAATCCTTCGTTCCGGCAGGACACGAACCAATAGTGACCTTGTGACACAGTGGCTGAAGAAAGGAATTTTTCTTTGTGTTCGATCGTTGTATGAATAATTATAACAAACTAGTGGAGTAATTTTACAAAAATAAATTAATATCATGGTAGTAAAACATCGTGATATTTAATAAACTTAATATTACAAATAAAATAAAAGATTTTCGTTACATCCCGAGAAGCAAAGGTTTTAAAACATAAGTTGTTTGTTTTAGGTAGGGAACACGATCTGAAGAGATATTAGTTTTTTTTTCACCCAGTGTGGATCCTCTATGGATGGTCATTTACGAAATTGGACAGACGCACAGGTCGCGTGACTCAGCAACAAGGCGTTGCCGAACGTGTGAGCGGACACACGCAGGTGATTCACACAAAACGAACATTCGTCCACTTTCGTCCTTTCGCCACACGAAACCGAAGAGTCAGCGAGTTCTGAAGCCGATGCTTTGACAAACGAGGTGATAGTGCCGCTAAAGGTTTTTTCCTTTGTATTTTACCGCTATTGGACCGAAGCATCAATTTAGGGTGGTTGATTATACTAAAGTTGCAGTAAAGCGTACGTGTAGTGTCAGTTTATTTTTTTGGTTGTGTTCATTTATTTACTTGTTTTGTCTGTAACCATATTTCACATACGTTTCATATATTCGTGTTTGTTTGCTAGGTTTCTCATTTCACAGAATTTCACCAATTAAATAGGGTACTGTAGCGGATCGCCTCCTCATCCAATCTCAGTAAAAGTAATGTCAACTGATGTTATCTTATCATCAACACGTCTCAATAGCTGTGGAACCATTTTGGCAAATGTACTAAATTCGTTATTTCCTGAAAGTGTGGAGCCTTTCATAATTGCATAACAAATGCGTTAAATTGCTTTGCAGTGTGCTGATTGCATGCTAATTATATTCTTTGTTCATTCTTGCGAAATGAGGCCGAAAC